CAAGAGAAGTACCGCGCGTCTCCAGCCCAAAGCCATTCAGAGGGACTGAAGTGAATGTCTCATGCACAGGGCAAGGTGGCAGTGCCTGTTCCTCCCAGGGCCTGTCCGCAGCCTCCAGCCCCAGGTCCTGAGCCTCCCCGCAGAGCTTTGTTGCTCTCTCCCACTGAGCCAGGCCTGTCATCAGGACCCCCTTTCCTCTCCACAGAGGCCAGCACTCTCCAGGCTCCAAAGCTCTATCCCGCCCCATTCTGCCTCCACTGCTTTCCTCAGTGCGTGGGTTCAGCGGCAGCAACATCTGCGGGGCACCCTCTGGCCTGCGGGTGGTCACAGAGTGCCAAGGGCCCTGGTGCTGGTTCTTGGCCCTGCCACTCACTGGCTGCATGACCCAGGGCAAGTAGCTCCCCTCCCTAAGCCATAGTTTCTCCCTTTGTAAAAAGTGGTTGGAAGAGATGATGACTAAAGCCTCTTCTAGATACATAACTATCTCGCTGGGTATCAGTTGCTCATTCAACACAAGACTAAGTTAAACATCTAAGGAATTTCTACTCGAAATCCAGCATTTAGAGCCAGCCCTACCCGCTGGGCATCATCCACGACAGGCAGGCAGAGGTATTGTATTCCTTCTGCTTTCTCCCTCAGCAGTGGCCTCGGCTGGCCTGTCCTTGCCCAGGTCCTCCAGGCCCCTCCCAGGGCTGTGGCCTTCCTCTGGCCAGGTCCTTAGGCAGGGCTTGTTTCCTCCCCGGCCTGAGTACCTTCCCGAGGAGCCAGCGCCTGTCCCTGCTGCCCAGTGCTTCCTCAGAGGCAGGGCCTTGGCAAGTGCTGCCTTGCTACTGATGAGACTTAATTAACGGAGGGATCTGTTTTCCTCCTGGCCCTGGGAGAGAGGCCGCCGCCTCGGAGCTCAAGGACACAGGGTCCCTCATTGTTCTTCAGAGAAACGCAGCTGCCCCTGCGCAGCTGCTGCCCCAGGCCTGTCAGCTGCTGCCCCTATTCTCTGAGGGCCTTTCCACTCTCCTCCCTGAGAAGCTTATTCAAGTGCCCACCAGCAGCGATCCTCGTCCTTTCCCTGAGCTGGTCTCTTCAGGGTGTCCATGGTGCTGACTCTTGGCCACTGCAACCTCTGTCTCCCCGGTTCAAGTGATTCTCCTGCCTCAGCCCCCAAATAGCTGGGATTAAAGTGTGCACCACCATGCCTGGCTAATTTTTTTTTTTTTTTTTGAGATGGAGTTTTGCTCTGTTGCCCAGGCTGGAGTGCAGTGGTGAGATCTTGGCTCACTGCAACCTCCACCTCCTGTGTTCAAGCGATTCTCCTGCCTCAGCCTCTGGAGTAGCTGGGACTACAGGGGTCGAGCTTTTGACCTCACTGGACTGGACCTATCAGGTATCAGAGGCAGCCCTTTCCCCTGCTGAGTTGCTGTCTTCAGTGGCTCTGCAGCTCCATCTCCCTGGTTTGGTTCGTGCTTCCCTGACGGCTCCTTCCAGGCCCCTTTTGCCTGTTGTCACACTTTGGGGCTCAGCCCTCGGTACTCCCTACTCACTCAGGGCTATACCCTACATCGGCTGCTGACTTCCAATTCCTGTCTGTATCCCAGAGATGGATAGGAATAGATTTTGCTCTGTCTTTTACAATAGGCATTCCTATCTGTATCACCCAGAGCGAAGCTGAGTCCTTGCCTTCAAGGCCCTGTGCTACCTGTCCTGACAGCTCCCTGGCCTCACCTACTCAGCTGTCCTCTGTGTAGTTCTTTGACACACCAAACCCAGCCACCCTTTGCATTAGGCCCTTGCACTAGCTGCTCCCTCTTCCTGGAATTCTCTTCCCCCAGTATCCACTTGGCTGGTTCCCTCACCATCTTCAGTTCTCTGATCTAACACCACCTTCTTAGTGAGGACTTCCATGATGGCTCTATTTTATTTATTTATTTATTGCTTTGAGAAGGAATCTCACTCTGCTGCCCAGGGTGGACTGCAATGGCACGATCTTGGATCACTGCAACCTCGCCTCCCAAGTTCAAGTGATTCTCCTGCCTCAGCCTCTGAGTAGCTTGGATTACAGGTGTGCACCACCACGCCTGGCTAATTTGTATATATATGTATTTTTGAGACAGAATTTTGTTCTGTTGCCCGGGCTGGAGTGCAGTGGTACAATCTCAGCTCACTACAACGTCCACCTGCTGGATTAAAGTGATTCTCCTGCCTCAGCTTCCGGAGTAGCTGAGATTACAGGCACATGCCACCACGCCCAGCTAATTTTTTTTGTATTTGTAGTAGAGACAGGATTTTACTGTATTACCAGGATGGTCTCCATCTCTTGGCCTTGTAATCTACCCACCTTGGCCTCCCAAAGTGCTGGGATTACAGGCATGAGCCACCGTGCCCGGCCAATTTTTGTATTTTTAGTAAGATGGGGTTTCACCATGTTGGCCAGGCTGGTCTTGAACTCCTGACCTCAAGTGATCTACCCACCTTGGCCTCCCAAAGTGCTGGGATTACAGGCATGAGCCACCGTGCCCAGTCAATGGCTCTACTTTAAATTGCAACTCCCCTTTACTTCCCCTAGCACCGTCTTTCTCTCTCCTCTGCTTTATTTTCTCCATATTGCTCATCACCCACTGCCACGCTATGTCAGTTTGAAAACCCTATCACCTCCCTCTAGACCATAAAGTTCCTGGGAGCAGGGGTTTCTGTTTTGCTGACTATCCCCAGTGTCTAAACAGTGCCTCCTTGGGGCTTGTTGGAACTAGGAATGCTGTCCTCAGCCCACAGTAGCTGATTAACAAGTATTTGTTGTACCTATGGATACGAGCTTCATTAAATGTACTTGTACATGTATCTTTATGTCCTGGTGTTTGACTTCTGTACACTAGGTCCTGGAAGTGGGGTTATTCTGTCCAGTGTATGTATATTTCTAATTTTAATAAACTACTCCAGACAGCTGTCCCAAGAGGCTCTAGCAATTCATGCCCATTTCCCTGCCTGTGCTGGATGTTATCACACTTGAGTTCCTGCCAGTCTTCTGGGGAAGCAGGGAAGGCATCTCATTGTTTAAATTTTCATTTTCCTGCCTAATAGAGAAGAACATTTTTCATGTTTATTGACCACTTGAATTTCTGTTTCTGTGAATTGTCTTATTCATTATAGCCTTTACCCATTTTTGTTTTTACAGGGGAGGTGGGTAGGGGAGGACTGACTTTTTCTAACGCGTGTGTAGGAAGGAATCTGTTTTGTTTTTTCTAAAATCATTTCAGGTAATTCTGATACTTATGGCCATTCTCCGTGCTTTTGCTCTAGTATGAAGACCCTCCTGGTCGCACCGCCTGGCAGGCTCTGGGGTCCTCTATGGGTTTTAGAATGAAAGGTTTTAAGGTTTTTTTCTTGTTGGTACTCTGTACTTTCTACAATGATCTTGTGTTACTTTTTTTAAAAGGATATTAAAAAAATCATAGAAAAATTCTTGTGCTGTAATACCAAGTGGAAAAGCATATGCAATTAGGATGTGATATACTTTCTGATGAGAACGACATAAAAAGGCTCTCTGTATGCAGAAAACTCTCGCTGTGAATGGCCAGGATGAAAACATAGGATTGTGGGTAATTATCTTTACAATAGGAAGCAGACAAGTGGGGGAAGAAGAGGTGAGGGTGAACCCCTAGTGGAAAAAGAGTGCCTGCTGGAATGGTGGCACTAGGGCTAAAATAACCTCCTTTTGTGCCTTGGCAGACATCACTAATTAATCACTTCAGCAGTTTCTACTTAGCTCCAGCTTGGCCTTAGAATCTTTCTCAGCACTGTAGTTCAGGGAGCGCTGCTCACAGATCAGAGCTGGCAGGCGACATTAAACCCAGTCACCAACCTTGCCTGAGCAGGGGGCAGCGCAGTCAGCCATGGCAGCTAACTCTCTTGCTGGGGCAGCAACAGGCTCCCTGGCAGCCCATGTGGCTGTGCTGGAGCTGCAGTCCAATTGGCGGCTCCTGCCCAGCTGTGCCCTGGGGGTGGGGGAGGCACCTGGGATCTTTTCAACCTGCACTGGCTCTCATCTCTGATACAGAGCATAGCTTCCTGGCATCCTTTTGCCTCCTAGCCCCTGGGGCTTGCTGGAACTGGGAACACTGTCCTCAGCCTGATGCTTGGCCTGTGCCTTTGCCTGGACATCCCCTCCAGCACCACACCTTGGCCACTCTCACTGTTTGGTCTGACTCTCCAGCCTCTGACCTCTGCTCTCATGATTTCTGGCATTACTTCTCTCCACTCACAGGGCATGGTCCCAGCTGTGACTTCATGCCCTGATGCTGTGTTCACTGGCACATCCTGACTGTCTACCCAGGCCCCCGGCTCTGCCCCACCTGCCTGCCGTGTAGGTGGCATGCCTCAGAGCTGACAGGTTCACCAGCCAGACTCACTGCACAATGCAGGAATTCCTCATCCATCTTCCACTAGACCAGCTTGGGGAGGGGGGTGGATTAGAAAGAATAGGAAAAAATATTTTTATAGCTTTTTCTGTTTTTGAAGAAACAGCAAATGATACAGAAAGGTGACATAGAAATATATGGGGAAATCGCCACTAATCTAATCCCCTGGAGGTAATCACGGTGACTGTGCTGGTGAATATCCTTCCCATCACCTCTCTGCCTCCACACTCTTTGAGATACACATATGCCTCCATACTCTTTGAGATACACATATTATCCTTACAATAGGAAGCAGACAAGTGGGGGAAGAAGAGGTGAGGGTGAACCCCTAGTGGAAAAAGAGTGCCTGCTGGAATGCTGGCACTGTCATAAGTGGCAACCTGCTCGTATTCAACCTGCATTTTCACTCAACTGTATGTTATGAGCATTTTCAAGAATGAAATGATCAAGGTCAATGATGAAAAAACGTGTTTTCCACCCCTAGAAGGTAAATTATATTCCACAGGATTCTTGTCTTTTCCTCCTAGCATATCAGTGTTTTTGCTTCTTCCGAAGCAGAAATGTCATTCATTTCTTGTTTCTCTCTTGTAGTAATAGACCACCAATTTCTAGTTGTGTGGACGGCCACTAGAATGAAGACAATGTATCTCAGCTTCCTGTGGAGCTCTGCAAGGCTGTGAGACTGAGTTCTAGCCAATGGGTGTGAACAGAAGAGGTATGCGTACCACTGCCTGGATGTGCCCTGTGCTAGGTATTTTTATATATGGCCATAAATTATTTGACAGTCCTTGTGCCATTAAGGTAGAGGCTTAATTCCCATCCTTTAAGCCTAGCCTATACTTTGTGACTTGCTTCTAATGCACAGAATGTGGTAGAAGCGATGAACACCTGAGGTTGAACTGAAGAGGGAGTTGGCTTCCTTCTTACTTTCTATCTCTTGTATTATCCACTCTGGAAAAAGCCAGCTGCCATGTCATGAGGCCAAGGTAGCAGCCCTGTGGAAAGACCCATGTGGCAAAGAACTGAGGCTTCCTACCAACAGTCACGTGAGAAAGCAATTTTGAAAGCAAGTCCTTAACCCCTGAACCAGCCTTCAGGTGACTGTGGTGCTGGATGACATCTTGACTATAACCTCTGAATTCCTGACTTACAGAAACTGAGATAATAAACATTTATTGTTTTAAATAACCAAGTTTTGGGTTGTTTTGCAACAGTAGACAATTGGTACATGCCCTTAAAAGGATGGATGGGTCTTCCCCTTCCCCTTTACCCTCTCTCTGGATGGAAGGTGAATGTGCAGTGTGCCATCTGGGATCTTGCAAATAAGGGCAACATGCTAGGGATAAAGGAGCAACAATATAGAGGGGGTTTGGGACCTTGATGGCTTCATAGGACAGGGTTAGCATAAGACATCTATGTGAGAGGAACATGAACATCTATATTAATTAAGCCAGAGCTTCCTAACAAATGTTGGGCTTTCCTGGGATGCTGTAAATGGGTTGCAGGTGTATGAAGCTACTGATCCCCTCTGTCCCAGGACCACTTGCTTCTGCTCATAAGCAGCCTTATAGACTGAATGTTTGTGCCACTCCAACATTCACATGTTGAAATCTAATCCCCAATGTGATGATATTAGGAGGTGATTAGGTCATGATGGCGGAACGTTTATGAATAGGATTAGTGCCCTTATAAGGGGCTAGTGAGACCAGAGATTTTTCCCTTTCCACCATATGAGGACACAGCGAAAAGTCACCATCCATGAACTAAGAGCAGGCCTTCACCAGACACCACTCTACCAGTGCCTTGATCTTGGACTTCCCAGTCTCCTGAACTGTGAGAAATAAATTTCTGTGTATAAGCTATCCAATGTATGGTAATTTGTTTTAGCAGTCTGAAAGAACTAAGACACAGCCTTATTCTTTTACCCCCATGAGCTACACAATTGTTACAATTTTCTCTGCATGCTCTGATGGAAATAACATTTGGGAAGCCTTGGGTCTCTGTCATAACAGCCAAATTTTATCTCAATGAATACATTCTCCAAAGTGAGGTGTGGCTTAGTACTTTAACATATGCTGCTCTCCTTAATCAGGCCATGGGACCCTCGTGCTCTGAGGGGTATGTCAGGTCTTGGTAGGTGAGGTGGCAGGTACTACAAGTGGTCCAGCTTTCTCTAGATCCCAGCGGTCCCAGGGGCTGGCGATCACTCCCCTTGCCTGGGCAGGGGACTGATTCTGCAAACAACAGGAGCAAACCCTCCTCCCGGCCTTGGGGAACCGCTCACAGTTTGCCTCTGACTCTGGCTCTCTTTCCCCCTGAGCTATGTCTGCATTCCAACCTTCCCTCTCTTCTCAGGCTCCGACCACTCAGGAGCAGAGGTTGCAACAATGTCCACCTCAACAGAGCTGAGCTTAATAACATCATTACTCCCTGAGGATGGTCATGGGTCACACACCCACATCCAACCAAGCCTCCTGTGGACAGAATTCTATTAGGAGGTACAGGACTGGGGCTTTCCTGATGTCACCCACTTAGAAGAGCAAAATCTCTATTTTAATAGCTAGGTGTCATGCACAGAATGTTTGTGTCCCGCCTAATTCATATGTTGACATTCTAACACCGATGTGATGGTACTCAGAGGCGGGGCTGTTCAGAGGTGATGAGGTCATGAGGGTGGAGCCCTCATGAATGGGATTAGTGCCCTTATCACAGAAGTCCCTGGGACCTCTCACACCCTCTTCCACTGTGTGAACACACCACTCAAGAAGATGGTAGCCTGTAACCCAGAAGAGGCCTCAGCAGAACGTGACTGTGGTGGTACCCTGAGCTCAGCCTTCCAGACTCCAGAACTTCGAGAAATACATTTCTGTTGTTTAGAAGCCACACAGCCTATGGCACTGTGTCATAGCAGCGCAAACCGACTGAGATGGTGAGGTTCACCCAACCCAGGCAATCCACTGGATGTGTCCTCCTCTCTGCTTAAACTCAGGGCTATATGAAATCAGAAAAGAATCCATTTGAGCATGAGTGACATCACACTATAACATGCGAAGCATACACATTTTATGATGCTACTTATGCAAACTTAGATCTAGATGACCAGAAAGATTCCACAGTGGTGGCCGAGTGTGGTGGCTCACACCTATAATCCCAGCACTTTGGGAGGTCAAAACAGGCAGATCACTTGAGGTCAGGAGTTCGAGACCAGCCTGGGCAAGCTGGTGAAACCCAGTCTCTACTAAAAATACAAAAATTAGCCAGGCATAGTGGTGCATGTCTGTAATCCCAGCTACTTAGCAGGGGCTGAGGCAGGAGAATCGCTTGAAACCTGGAAGGCAGTGGTTGCAGTGAGCTGAGATTGTACCACTCCACTCTAGCCTGGGTGACACAGCGAGACTCCATCTCAAAAAAAAAAAAAAAAAAGAAAGATTCCACAGTGGCTTCTAGTCTTACTGCCCAGTGGCTCCTCATTAATAACTGATGGGAACCCCAAACAGCATGGCCAGGAGACCGTGTCAGCTCAGACCTGGTGGGTCCCTCTCCTCACAGGCCCTGCTGCTCCCTTCAGCTCTCCACATCGCTCCATGACCACAACTGTTGGTCTTGAAATTCAGTTTTTTCTTTTTTTGTTGTTGTTTTAATTTCACAGCTCTTATTTCCAAACTAGTTCAGTCTCTGCTAAGGTGATTGTTCAAATTTTGCTTTGAGCATGAATTTGGGGGACTATTTTCTTCTCATTTTGGAGGGGACAATTTTTTATTGTGGTAAAATATACATAAGAAAATTTAACGTTTTAAGCCTTTTTGAGTTTATCATTTGGTGGCATGAAATACTTTCACAGTGTTGTACAACCATCACTGCTATCCATCTCCAGAACTTTTCATCATCCCAAATTGAAACTCAGAAGGTATCAAACAATAATTCCCCATTTCCCTTCTGTAACCCCTGGCAACTCTATTCTACTTCTGGTAGCTATGACTTTGCTTATTCTAGACATCTCATCTATGTGGAATCATGCAGTCTTTGTCTTTCTGTGACTGGAGAAATATAGTCACACTCCATGTGTTATGCACGGAATGTTTGTGTCCCACCTAGTACTTAGCATAATGTCTTCAGGGCTCACCCATGCTGTAGCACGGGTCAGAGTTTTCTTCTTTTTAATGGCTGAGCTCGTAAGTTTTTGTTTGTTTGTTTGTTTGTTTGTTTTTGGAGACGACGTCTCTCTCTGTCACCCAGGCTTGAGTGCAGTGGCATGACCTTGGCTCGCTGCAACCTCTGCCTCCCAGGTTCAAGTGATTCTCCTGCCTCAGCCTACCGAGTAGCTGGATTACAGGTGCACACCACCACACCCGGCTAATTTTTTGTATTTTTAGTAGAGACAGCGTTTCACTGTGTTGCCCAGGCTGGTCTTGAACTCCTGAGCTCAGGCAATCCGCTTGCCTCGCCCTTCCAAAGTGCCAGGATTACAGGTGTGAGCCACTGAGCCCGGCCATGTAAGTTTTTTAATCCATGGATTTCACTAAAGGTTGATGTTTCCAATACATTCTGCAAAATTCCTGCGGACACTTTTTAAACATGGAACTGACTTCTCTTTTTCCTGCATCATTGTTCTCTTCATTTCCTACACAGTGACTGTGTGACATCTGGTAGTGTCTGATCAGGTGTTTTATTCATTCTCTCGGATGAGAGGAGGTCCCCCCGGGCTGGAGGTCTATGCTGGCAGCAGGTGCCCCATGGAGTGGCACCGGTGGTGACACCAACAGATGCCCCTGTCTGATGACAGCTCTGGAGCACTGCCTGTTACTCTACTCTTATATTCTTTTTTTTTTGAGACCGAGTTTCACGCTTGTTACCCAGGCTGGAGTTCAATGGCGCGATCTCGGCTCATGGCAACCTCTGCCTCCTGGGTTCAGGCAATTCTCCTGCCTCAGCCTCCTGAGTAGCTGGGATTACAGGCATGCGCCACCATGCCCAGCTAATATTTTGTATATTTTTTAGCAGAGACGGGGTTTCACCATGTTGACCAGGATGGTCTCGATCTCTTGACCTTGTGATCCACCCGCCTCGGCCTCCCAAGGTGCTGGGATTACAGGCTTGAGCCACCGCGCCCGGCCTACTCTTATATTCTTGAAGGCTCATCAACATCATGCTTTGGTATCTTTCAGTGTGGCTGTACATTTCTTAGTTCATTTAATTCAAAAGCCCTGATGGGGGCTATGTGTCAGTAACCCTTTTAAATCTGAGGAAACTGAGGCCCAGGGAGGTGATGGCTCTTGCTGCCACAGGAAGTCAGTGGCAAGTGGGAGCTGATGACCAGGTCACCCAAGTCCAGGCCTGTTTTCTGTTACCCCTCAGGGAGTCTTGAAGGTGGCAGAGGCTTCAGGCTCCCTCCTTTTTGCATTGGCCTTTCTCTTCCTACCTTGATGGGCAAGGATGGAGTTCTAGGTGCTGGAGAAGGTGGAGAGATGGGGGAGAATGAACACCAATCTTTCAATTCCCCAGCTTGTGCAAACCTGGTTTCTTTTGAGCTATCTTCAGGGCTAAGTCTGACACTCTCAAAAGGAAAGGGTGGGAAGGTGGCAAGAGGGGCTGTGGCCAACTCCTGGGGACTGGGGCTAAAGTCACGAGGTTGGAGCCTTCCTCTCCCCCTGCAGGAGGATACCAGGAACTACAGCCATTTGAGAATAAATGATTCATGCATATGGTTAAAAAATT